ATAACCTGTGCCTATGTTGAAGTATGGATTCATGATGATGAGTTTCCATAAAAGCTTTGTCTCCCCTCATAGAATATATCTATTCATTTCATCAAGCAGTTTCCAGCTCAGAATCTCAGTCTCTTGGGCCCGAGTCGTCATTCGTTTCACCTTCAGTTGCTGTCAGGATCCCAATTCACTCGTTTAGATTTGCATCACCATCGATCAATCATGTCGTTCGTTAGCATCAAGAGCACTCTCATGCTTCTAGGCATGAGCAGTTTGAGCTTTGCTGCCACAATCCCTCTCCGTCGCAGCAACACTACCAGCAGCGATTCTGAGACAGTTCACCTCATGGCCTCGACTCCTCAGCTGGAGTACGACCCGCAGACCACAGCGGATTGCACGTGGTGGTATGACAATACCCAGGCTACGAACTGCAATGATTTGCTGGCCAGTGAGGGCATCACGCTTGCCAACTTCAGGCGCTGGGTACGTAGACGAAGTTTCTGTCCACGCCATCGTTATTTCATCGTCTTCATAGCTGAACAAAGCTGACCGAATAGAACCCTTCAATCAATGAGGCGTGCACAAACCTCGCTGTCGGTAAATCGTACTGCGTCGAAGCAGCCTTTGAGACTGTTCCTTCTCCGACTGACCCCGAGACTCCCCCGGCGACAACCACTGCTCCGTCCAATGGTTCGTTGACTACTTCCCTAGTCTTCATGCCCGTTCCTGAGACTAACCACAAGTTCAGGAATCGAAACTCCTCAGCCAACTCAGCCAAGCCTTGTCGACAACTGCAACAAGTTTTACTTTGTGAAGTCTGGAGACTCATGTGCCGCTATCGCCTCCAGCAGCGGCATTACTCTGGCCAATTTCCTCTCCTGGAACCCCAAGGCTGGGTCTAACTGCGCTGGCCTCTGGGCTGATGCATACGCCTGCGTCGGCATCATTGGAGGCAGCACGACTCCCACACCTACGAACCCCGGCAACGGCATCGAGACCCCCCAGCCTCCCCAGCCCAGTATGGTCGATAACTGCAACAAATTCTCCCTCGTCAAGTCTGGAGACTCCTGTGCTGCCATCGCCTCGAGTCAAGGCATCACTCTCGCTAACTTTCTCGCCTGGAACAAGGGGGCTGGCAGCAACTGCGGCGGACTCTGGGCAGACGCTTACGCTTGCGTTGGCATTGTTGGAGGCAGCACTACTCCAACCAACCCGGGCAATGGCGTCCAGACGCCAACGCCAATTCAGACGGGCATGACCACCAAATGCAAGAGCTTCCATTTTGTCGAGTCGGGACAAACATGCGCAGTCATTGCACCAAAGTACGGCGTCACTGTCGCCAACTTGATCTCTTGGAACCCTGCCGTTGGATCGGGCTGCAATGGCATGTGGGCTGAGACTTACCTGTGCGTTGCTGTCTTGTAAGTCAGTAAGTCTGGCCACTTTTCTGAGGAACGTTGTACAAATGTAGTCTTTAAGTAGAAGACATTTATGAGCAACATGTTGTTCCAGTGGTATCCCTTCGCCACCAATGCAATCCTGTCTACATAAAAACGCCTTACAATGCAAATTCCTGCCCAAGATCTCGGCCGTGACTCTTAATGCAAATCTTCTAGTTCTCCCCACTTTGTTCCTAAGACTGGTACCCATCAGCCCTGTCGATAGCAGTAGCTTGAGCAAGCTTGCTCTCAGCCACGCTGACGGTGGGGAGGTAACCCTGGGGGTTGACGCCGCCACCAGTGATAGCCAGACCCTCGGCTGAAGAGTTTACACCAAGTGTGATCTAAGTAAATCATGTTAGCTCTGCTGACTACCTTCAATAACATGCCAAGAGTCACTTACATAGCCAACAAGACCATCCTCAATGTTATCAGTCAGCTGCGTAACGCTAATCACAGCACTGTAGCCGTCGGAGCTAGCGTCGGAGTACAGCGAATCCTCCGCGTTGGTGGTGCGGTTCAAGGTGGTCAAGTGCGCGCTGTACGGCTCCAGCGCGTACACCTGGCTCAGGAGGTCCTCCTCGAAGAACAGCTGCCCGATGTGCTGGACCTTGCTGGCCGAGTACGAGGTGCCGTTGGTGATGTTCGTCTGCGCAGTGACGTGGATGTGCGTGGTGCGGGTGATGTAGTATCCGGGGAACTTGGTGAGATATTCGACGATGCCGTTCTGATCGGTCACTTGGATACCGCGCAGGAATGTCTCATCGTCTGTTGTTCCATCGTCCCTCTTGGTCCAGTTATCCATCAGCTCCGCGGAATCGGGGTCAATTCCAGTGAAGGACGAGTAGGAGCCGGTGGCGTTGCAGTTCCAAATCGTCAAGGCCGTTCCGGACAGGGGCTCGCAGGTCTCGATATCGATCACGCCGATGTCGAGGTAAAAGTCGAGACCTCCCTGCGTCTCGCGGAGATCATGACGAACCATTTCACCGTCAACACTACGCATTTGTCAGGATTTACATGTCGCACCAATCACGATTGAGTATTAAGTGCTTACCCATAGGGTCCCCAGACGGTATCAGGGGCCAAGACGCAGGTGTCATTCTGAATGGTGGTGTAGTGCAGGGAATCGCGCTGCAAAAGCTCGCGCTCATCGGCGTGTGCATTCTGGGCCCGGCGAGTGCGCAGACGGCTGGCTCTCTTGGCGAATATCTCAGCCTTACGCGCCTCGATGGCAGCTGCGCACTTGTTGGTGCTACGGCCGACCACGTGGGCCTCGGATTTGGCCTTCTCGGCCGTCATGCGCTCTGGATGAGCAAAGACAGGGGCCAAAGCCAAGGCGTGGATAAGGATGTTGCTGAGCTGCATTTTGTATGTTTTAAAGAGTGAATGCTGAGAGGAGTGAGTGACTGTGAGTGATCGACCAAGAACAACTCCTTTCAACGGAGCATCCCATTACGGTTCTTATACATCACATCTTCGAGCCCTCCTTTCCATGATTTCTTCTGTAAAGCCCTGCATTGATTACCGTAAAGACGTTCCCTAGCTAATCAAAGATCCGGAATAGCTTACGTCGTGACGAATGTGATTGGAAGATACCCCAGTAGGCTGACGTCTACTTACACCTCCGTCGTCGGGATGTGGGCGGTTCTGTGGAGTTTGAGGCTCTCACCAGTGGCTAATTCGACCCGCTCGCCCCTAGACGCGCGATGTTGGGGGGCTTGGAGAAGATGCACCGCCCCTTAACGGCTTCGTGCGCTTCCTGCCTGTTTCGGCGAAAGCGGCCACCGGACCCGGGGTATGGCCCCGTAACTACGGCCCCATGTGGCGGGTACGGAGCCTGTTTTCTCTGGATTTGAAGAAATTCTTGTGTGTCGTGATGGGAGATTCGGCACCTCGATTGCACCCGAGGACCGTGATTTTTCGGGCTCGCGATGATTCTTCGCCCGTGGACGCGTTGAACATTACGTCCTTTTTGCAATCCATGCCCAGGGTGATTCAAGCCGAGGCAAAGACAACCCCGACGGCGACGCGAGATACCATTAAGGACGTTGTGATCTTAATTGGCCACAACCTCCTCAGAAAGGAATGAGGGGGAGTATCATGGATATAGACAGTCGGGTGCCTCCCGATGCGATGTGTCATGTTGTACCAAGCTTAAGGAGCCCCTGAAAGCAGCCCGTGTGCTCTATCTCTGTCAAGCCCAACGAGGACGCGTGGACGGCGATCCGGTAAGCCTGATGGAGCAGGAGATCGGTCAGGTCCGCGGGTTCCACGGCGCTCAATTTCGAAGACGCGACCCAAGAAAAAGAGATTTTTACTACCAAAGGAATGCCGTCTGCTGGAAGGAATATCGATGCTGTCTTTCTCGAAGAAGACTCGTCCAAGTTTGGACGAGCCAAGATCAAAGGTTTTGCCGTGAACATCAGTTCGCCGAGGGGTTGTTCAAGAAAAACGCAAAAACGCGCAACCTCAAAAGAAACGAAGAGCAAAGACACATGCTTACGAGCCTTGGTTGAAAAAAGAAGCAAATTCTCACTGATTATTTACAAATCGAAACTCGTGTTTGCCAAGGCCTTGGGAGTTCAGGCGGCGGCTTGGATGTCTGAAAATAGGTTGATGCGCACGGGGTGACCCGACCTATTCGAGATGCAATGGAAAAAAACTCGGTCTGCCCGTTCAATTCCACATGAGTATTCGTAACCCTTTATGGCTTCGTGGAGCTCCACAGCACTGGCTCTTCAGCATCGAACATCCCACCGGCAGTCTCACTGAGCATCCAGCATGATCATTACGTCCTCGTGATGGCCTTGCGGAGCTCCATGACAAAGCCGACTCAGTCTCGGACATCCCACCGGTTCCCTTGCAAGATCTGGTTTATAAGTCCTCACAAGATTCCAATTCCCCGTGTTCGAGTTCAGTCTGCGCCGCGTTCTCCAGGAGAAAACAATCAGGTTTTAGGCTCGCAGACGCTGACTGATCCGTATAACAACACGCGTCACTACGCTGCAACTCTACTGTCTTGATTATAGGCAAGTGGGGGGCAAGTTGGCTGATTGGTATTCCCAATCTTGCGCTGTTTCGTTTGTCCGTGCTAACCCCTAAAGCGCTCGCCTTTAAGGAGGTCCCGTCTTGCCAATTATCTCTCAATTATTTAATCACTCAAGTATTGTGTTGCGTTTGTGAGGCAGAGCTATCGTACTCATCTTAGTATTTTCTTTGCAGCCATTAGTGTCCTATGTTGCCTTTTTCTTCGGGACTCCCCCTAAGAAAGAGAGAAAACGGGAGCTATTCTCAGTTGATCTCAAGGAATGGGTAGCACCCTGGTCGTCTAGCTAAACACACCCGTACAAATGACAAAGCTCAAAGAAGAGGTGTTCGTTGGCGGATCATTAATAATTGTCCCATCGTTATTACGGCATGACGGAAAGCAGAGGCGCCCGGCTTTCGAGATGATTCGGGTTTGTTGATCTTCTGATTCACCCTGGTAGACCTTATCCTCGATGCGAATATTCATTGTGAAATCACCAAAGAGTGTGTTGTACAGGATCCTCAAACTCATACTTCCACTTCTTTTCAACTTGATCCGCCTGCCACCTTGTCCAAAAACACCATGTACCTCTCGTAAAACGTCGATACTTCCTCCTCAGCAGCCGGCAAAACCGCAGGAAAGCAGTGAGGCAGGCCTCGGTACGCATGCACCTCGACATCGACCCCCTCAACCTCCAATGCTTCCGCATACGCGAGAGCTTCATCCCGAAGGACGTCGTAGCCGGCGCACTGTATGACTGACATGACGCGGCGTTAGCTGGTGGCGACGACTTGTCCACATTCTTGAGACTCACGCGTACGAGGCAGGCCCTTCAGAGACTCAGCCAGTATGGGCGAATGGCGATGATCGGGCATCGGCTTGGGCAGGTACGCATCAAGGGCGCCTTCCATTGCCAGAGAGCCGATGACCGGGTTGTCGTTGTTTTGGATGTAGCTACCATACTCGTACTTTTCTTTGGGAAAGAACTTCGGGTGGCAGATGATTGGGAAGTGCAGGACTTGGGCGCTGACGCCTGTGATACCGTTGTCTCTACACTCGATTGCGAGGGCGGCGGCCTTGGTTTGTTAGTTGGGTTGAACGGGTGTGGGTTGCTTGGTGAGACTTGCTAGGTTTCCTCCTGCGCTGCTCCCGCTGAGGATGATCTTCTCTGGGTCAACCCCGAGGGCTGTTGCGTTCTCTTTACACTAGAGTGGAGTTAGACAGAACTCGTCTCATGTCACTTGGCCAGACTCACCCATAAGAGACCGTCATAGCTGTCGTGCAGCCCACAAGGGAAAGGATCCTCCGGCGCCCTGTATAAATTAGCATGAAGGGAGGATTCTCAACGACAACCACTTACTTGCGATAGCAAACACTCACGACGACAATGTTCTTGTTGGTCGCAGCGTAGACGTTCTCGGCACCGTCAACCTCATGACGGCCCACGCACCATCCTGACACCGAGTCAGCAACATAACCCAATATCTCATTTCACAGAGAAAGCCATACCGCCTCCGTGCATGCGATACATCAAAACCGCATTCGGCCGAACATTCGGCGACTTGTACACCTTGAGCTCGATCTCTTCCCCATCCCGGGCCTTGAAGTACAGCAGCTGCGTGGTCACATCCCGGTACCGATCCGGTCCGCCCCGGGGCATCGGCGCGTCCGCGTCGCCAGCTACTCTGCGCACCGACGCGAAATCTGGCTGGGCTTGAATCTGGGCGTACATGGCGCTGATAGCGGCTTCCGAGGCCGCATAGACCGGGTGTTTAGCGGAGAGGTGGCCGTACTTGGGAAGTGGGTGAAACTCGGCGTCGAGGTCGACGTATTCGGGCTTGATCTTTTCGGTCAGCATGTTGGATGTTGGTAATGGTGACGATTGATGGTCTTGACAATTGGTGGTGGGAACAGTCTCCTCGTGTCTTTTTGTACTCAGCTTCGCAGGCTGTTGTCAGCTCCGTGATAAGCCGCACTACTATGAGTACCTCCATGCAGCTAGGGATGACCCGAGATGACGGCAGTAAGCCACGAGGGTCGGCGCATCATGCCAAGAGTGCGCGAGCCAACCATAAGTGCAGTATTCGATCTCAGTTGATCTCCGGTGCTGTGTTTCGTTCCACAAACCAGGAAGGGTTGTGGCTGATGAGGGTGTGGTCACTATGATTCATCCCCGCTATGCCGGACTGGGAACAGTGCGTGCAGTGGGTTGCACATTTGGGCTGCAAAAGGGTTCCAACAAACTTCGCAGCCTCCGATGGGACCTGTCAAGCCTGCGTGTCAGAAAGGCAATGCTGAAATCTTTCCATTTTGAGGCCATCGAAGTCTCGGTCGGCGTGGCTCCGATCGCCGTGATCCATCGGCGTCGGATCCGTTGATCGACCCGCTTCGCCATGCTCATTCTAGGGCTGTTGTTCTTTCTAGAGTGAAAGGAGGAATTTATGAATCAACTTTCGGTGGCTTAAGCACCGAACCCATGTTCACTTGGTTTCGAAGACACCCGTGACAGTCATGAGGACATTTTGTCTTCCAAAGATACTTTGACGGAACCTGATACCCTGCTCGGAAGGGCTTCTGGGGGTTGAGACAGATCATAATTCCATGGATCCTGATGGCTGCTACGCTAAGAAGTGTGGAACTGTTCAATGAAAAATATACGATCTGATGTAGTCAATACTGATTCGCTGAGTATCCTACGAACACGTTCAAATATCAGACGCAAATGCGACACGCGATAACGTACACCAGTATACAGACGGACATGAAGTATAGGCACAAACTCGTCAGACATAACTCATGCTTCCACAGATATCCAAATGCAAATGCACGCCAAAAACAAAACACACCGAAAATGCAAAACGCATGCAGCGGACATGCAAAACGGGCCAATTCACATTCACACATTGCACACTATCCTGACATCAAGGTCAGGAGTAGACAGTGTCGGGGGAGAGGAAAGGGGTGGGGGCTTTGGTAGGGCCAAGCTTGGAGCTCGGCTACGCGTTGTCGCTGTCAAACGAACCAGCTCAAGGGGGAGAGGAGCTTCCAGAGCTTTGCTGCTGCATCGCCTCGATGAGAGCAGTGAGCTTGTCAATCTTCTCATTGAGCTCCGTGATGCGGACCTCGACGGCAGATGGGGCATCGGCCTCATCGATGTCGGCGGCACGGGTAGTCGGCCTCGAATGACTCCCGTTGCGGCGGTATGGAGAACGGCCAGGTCGGTAGCCCGAAGACGGGCGGTTGGCCTGCAGGGCGTTCCGGGCGTTGGGCTTCAGAAGACCCGTCGCGGCACGAGGTCCCTTGAAACCGGCATACTCGTCAGGGAGGACGCGGCGGCGGACGCTCTCGTAGAGTTGGATGACACCAACGATGGGCAGATGAGTGGCCTTGAGCAGGAGGATGCGGCCCTGGCGGAACTTGTCGTCGGAGGGGAGGAAGAGGCGCAGAGGGCGGAAGATGACGAGAGCGATGAGATTGAACGGCGGGTAGAAGTGCGTGAGCCGGTTGCTAGTCGAGGCCTCAAGCACGTACACGCTGTACACGTAGAGGTACTCCTCCTTGGCATGGGTGATGACACGGGAGAAGCTGTTGGACAGCATACCAGTCAGGGAACCCATCAGCAGGAAGGTACTGAGGATGATGAAGATGATCATGAGAGTCGGGCCGAAGATGGGGTTGATGTCCTCCATAATCTCGATACCGACGTAGGAAGAGCCGAAGAAGATCTTTGTCAAGATCATCGTCATATGTGAGAAGTTGTAGGCGTCCTGGCCGATGAGGGAGAAGGTCGTCAAGAAGCCGAGGTAGATGATGACGACGAGGACCATGAACTTGATGAAGTCCTTGCTCATCTCCTTCAGGCATGGGATCAGAGTACCCCAGTAGGGTGACAAGCTGAGCAGGGAGAAGACACGCGGGACCATGAATAGGGCCTCAAGAGCAAAGACGTCAAAAGCGAGGTCGGTGATTTCCCTGTCCTGGTTGGTGATGCCAATAACCCCTGCAGCATATTAGCAACTGCGCAGCGCCTTTGTTGATTATTTACTTACTCAGAACAGCAAAGGCGATACCAATGCCAATCATGATCATGTCAAACATGTTCCAGATGTCGGTTGCGTAGAAGATTGTGCCAGCATCCGCCCACTCGCTCAGCTCATCGTAGAGGAAGGCAGCCAGCCAGAGGTACAGGACGATTTCGTTGTGAGTGATGCGCTCAGTGTTTTGCTGGACGAGCACAGAGTAGTAGAGAATCAGGAAGATGAGGAAGAAGAAGGCCTCCCAGGCCTTGAGGTACTTGGGGACCCTCAAACGGGAGAAGATGTCGGTGGTGTGGGCGTTGTAGAAACGGGGCTTCTTCTCGGCATGGACGGAAAGACTGTCCCAGAAGATGATGTCTCCGTTCCAGATGCCAGTGACGATCTTCTGCACAACGTGCTGGCTGAGGAAGCGCTTGGCATCAGCGACAGCCGCAATCTCAAGAGCGTTCAGGTTGGTGAAGGGGCCGGTCGGGTCATCATCTTCCTGGCCATCTTCATCAGCGTGCATGCTCATGGTGAGCCTGGACAAGGAGGACAGCAGCTGATAGCGCTTGGCACTGCTTCCAGGGCGGACCGAGGCGCGTCTGCTGTTAGAGCCAGACCAGCTACCGCCAGAGAGCAGGGGCGAGTTCTCGTTGCTCTCCAGGTCGACATTGGGCGGCGGCGTCTCTGCCTGCTTCGGGTCGGGAATCTCATAAAGGCAGTAGTCGACGGCCTCCCGCTCCGATAGGCGGGTGAGGAAACGCCAAGCGACAATCTCGCAGGCGTTGGCGCGGGCTTCGCAGAGACCCTTGTTGGACTCGGCCTCGTCGGCCGCATAGTGCCATTTCAGGGCGCTGGACTTGTTAGCATGGCAATGTTTGCTAATTGGAGGTGGAATGACTTACAGCAAGGCGTTGACAATGGCGGGGTTGGTGCAGGTGGCATTGAGATGATCAACCAAGATCCTCAAGCACTCACCGGCGGTGGTGGTCCTCAGCTGCTCAAAGGTGCTCGGCAGAACAATGACATCGGTAATGTAACTGCGCCGAAACCGTCAGCGACTGATCCAGATGTTCCGTCCACCGCTCCGCAGCAGGCACACGAGGACAGCGCCGAAACTTACACCGAGATCTTCTTGACCACCTCTCGAAAGCTATCGGTGGTTTCAATGTCGGGCAGCTCGTAGACCGTGTCGACGCGCATGGACACGGGGCTCAGGTCCCGCTCCTGCGGCATTGGCTTCTTCTTGACGCGAATGGGCATTTTGCTGGTTGACGCGGGCAGCACCGTGAACCGGGTCCCGGATTGGACTGGTCAGTCGAAACAGGTTGTAGCCGAAAGAATCAATCCAATGCTTCCTGCCGGTGGTCAGCAGCCGCAGAGTGCTTGCAGACGAGATGGATGGATGGATGGTGGCAAGCAATTGATGGGCGCGCCGAGTACTCGCGTCCGGACGGCAGCGAGCGAGCTGAACGGAAGGACGGGGAAACAAGAGGAGAAAGAAGGACCCTGAGGTAGGTGCCGCCCGACGACGAGATACCGCCTGCCGCTGGAGGCGCTGCTGCTGCGTTCTGCATTGCTGCACCGCTGCTCGAACAGGGGTAAAGTGGGTCCACTATAGTGGAAACGACAGCGGGGCATTGACGCGCGGGGGCGAGATAACCCATTGCTATTGGCTTGTTCTGGCTAACTCCTCTGTTTACAGTTTAGCGTCATCAGGTGGGTGGCCGTACCAAGAATAAAAAAACAAGCTTCGCTCATCGGTGAAGATTGAAGATCCCAAAACCCATCCACCATGTCTTTCACTGAGGCTGAGGCCGAGCCGTTTACTCGCAACGGTCTCATCGGTATCTCATGTTACAACATGAAGCCATGTCTCACTCTCAGTGTAAGACATGGTATGACTGGTGCGAGGATCAACGCTCGGTAGACCAACAATCAGCGGTGCCGAAAGCTCGTGCCAAGCTCATTACCACATCAAAACTCCGATACGTCGATGTTTTCAGTGCCATTCTCGATGGAGTCGTTAATTCAGGCAAAACCCAGCTCTCGGTCGTCCAGTCGCAGTTCGCGCAATTTTCGAATTAGGAAATCAAACAGATCGAGTACCCACCGTCTAGAACGCAACCCAACCTCGTACGCATTCGTGAGGGATCTGCCATCTCAGCCACGTGGAGAGTAGCTCAACTCAGCCCTCCAGCTGGGCCAGAGAATGAGACGCGTCACGATAGGGCGATGACCAGCCTCATTTTTTGTGAGATCCCTAAGCGCCAGTGCGGGGCTTTGCGCCCGAGAGACGCATTCCATGTTTGTTCTATTCAATCGGGACTTTGGAGATTGACTCCCGGCCGCTCAGCTTCTCGAAGGATTCAAAAGGCTTCGCTCAGTGACGCGGCGCTGCCTTATTGACCCATGTCCACAAGCCACACATCAAAGTCCCCTCCGCTGAGCCTTCATTCCTCTTCGTGATAGCGACCAATGTCCCGAGAGTCAATGAGTTCGGAAAGGAACATGTATATAATATGAATGACTTCAGATGGAGTTCGGACCAGGCGAGACAGCAAGCCGAACACTTCGTTTTTATCACCAACTCTAAATCCATCATGTCCAGCGTTTCTGCAACGCCAACGACGGCCTCGGTCGCCAGCGCAACTTCGTCCCAAGCCGCTCCCACATGTACGACGTCGGTTCCAGGAAGATATGGACATGTCCCCATCGGCGCATGCAACTCATACTATGCATTCGACCCAAGTTTTGCGGGCAATCTTGCCTTTGCCGTGCTATTCGGCCTTTCCATGATTGCACACATCGTTCAGGCGATTACTTACAGAAAAGTGCGGAAATCACGCTGCAGCAAGTATGCTTTTTCTAACATGCGGGACAGAGATTCTGCTGGATCATCATCGTCGGCGCATCATGGGAAACTGCAGCCTTCATTCTCCGAACCCTCGGAGCCCACGACCAGCAGCAGATTGGTTATCAGATTGGCGGACAGCTGCTCTTCCTCCTCGCACCGCTATGTATGTTTCATCCACCTCCAGAAATTCCTTCACATGTCAGCACCCAAAAACTGACAGGCAGTCGCTAGGGATTAACGCGTTCGCGTACATGCTGGCAGCCAGGCTCGTGTACTTTGTCCTGCCTGACCAGAGAGTTTTCCGCGTCAAGGCCACCGCGCTCACCAAGATCTTCGTGGCCATGGACATTGTGTGCTTCCTCGTGCAGGCTGTGGGCGGCTCCATGATGTCCAACACGGAGGTCTCCTCGGACGACCCCATCCTGCGCACCGGCCAGCAGCTCTACATGAGCGGGTGCGGACTGCAGCTCGCCTTCATTGTCGTCTTCTGCGGGCTGATGGGCCGGTTCTACGTGAAGATGCAACAGGCGCAAAGGTTCGACCTCGACTTGAAACGGGTGAAGGCCCTCGTCTGGGTCATGTACGCGGTGCTGGTGCTCGTCATTGTAAGTGTGGTATTTGTTTCTCTTATTACTTTTCTGCTTTCTGCTCCTTGAACGTCCGTCCACCGTTCAGAAAGGAAACTTTCAGGGTGAGACGACGTTTGACAAGACGGGATGAACGGACTGAGCTGACACTTCCCGGAGATCCGGATCATCTTTCGACTGGCTGAGTTCGGACCTGGGGCCGACATTGAGAACCCCATCCTTACCAACGAGAACTACGCGTTCGGGCTCGACGCACTGCCCATGGTGCTCGCGCTCGTGCTCCTCAACGCCGTGCACCCGGGTATCGTGCTGAGGGGCGAGAACAGCGAGTTCCCGAGGCTGTCGAGGAAAGAGAAGAAGCAGATGAAGCGGGAGAAGAAGGAAATCAAGAAGGCGGCGAGGGCGGAAAAGAAGCAGAGAAAGGCTGGCAAGCTGGTCACTGAAGGGCACGCAGAGGGCATGGAGGAGAGGAGCCCGTTAACAGACAGCCCGTACGACACAGACGAGCGGTCTAGCTCACCGCGGAGGGAGCACGTTTAAGTCAGGCCGGGCGGCAGTGATGGGAAGCGGGGACTGTTGGGAGATGATGATGTCGAGTGATTGCATAGCTAGGGCGTTTGGGAAAGTGGTGACGGGCTTGTGACACGTCCGAGGGTTAGACACTTTCAGTAATGTTTACGGGACTGGGTGATAAACACGCTTGATTCAGCACAGGCGTTTGTTTCCGAGGGGTGTTGACTCGTCTAGTTGCTTGGGGCCGGCAGACTGAATAGCATCATATCTGAGATTCATCAAGAAGAAACAGGTCCAAGAGAAACGGAAATGCTCATCATTAAAGACGTGGAGGATGACGATCCCGGAATCCTTAAATGCCTAAAGCTGCAAGTTGTCGGGACCCTGAGAGTGCCTGGGAAGAGTGTGCCTTAGTTGACAGCACCGCCACGGGGCCCACTCGGGACCGGGAATTAGCGCGGATTAAAAAAAGAAGCCCGGTTGGCGCTAACGGAGGACCGCCGGACACTTTCACACTGTGTTTGTGCATACACTTGATAGGCTATACACAGTGTTAAAAGCGATCAGAGACAGGCACCTGAAGGATTCGACGCCGGCGCGGTGGGGTGGCAGCGTAAACAAGCGAGACGAACAGCCCCTGCCGGTTCGATGCAAACTCACTTCCTTCAAACTCCAGTCCCCGTTCAAGAGCGTTGGGTCCCGACTCCTTCAATATCCCACCATCGAACGAGTTAAACAGCTCACCAGCCGCACGTCTGTTCAGTCTGTTCACTTCTGTCTGTCTGCGCCCCTTGACGGTGCCTGCCTGACCTGACCTGACCTGACCGTTCGGGCCCGAGCCACCAGACTTGTCAAATTGGCATATTCGTCGTCCTGGACCCCCCAAAATCCGAGGACCCAAGACAGGCGTAGTGCCCCCAAGATGCGTGGCATGCGTTTGGGGGCATGCCTCTACGCCGTCTTGGATAGAGATGCAGCTTCCCTGGCTTTGGGGTCCTCCGTCGTCCATTGCCTGCATCAGAATATGCAAGCGCAACATGAGGACGAGGAAGCCATGGCGCAGAAGCAGAAGGGTCGTGTTCTCGTCCAGGAACCAACAACAACTTTCTCGAATGCCTGCAACCCCAGCCAACATCGTGTGCTCAGCATTACGGTCAAGCCAGTCGAAGTCGAAGCCGGTGTCAGTTCGATCAGACGATAGGCCCAAGAAGAGCAAGAAACATTTTTCTACCGCCTGTCTGATTCAGAACGCCTCCATCTCTCTCTATCTCTCTCTCTGCCCAAGCCCTCGCCTGCTCGGCACTTGACAGGCTCGTACTTTGCCTACGCCTATTTCCGGGTTCTCAGATCCGCACGGACTGGTCCCGGCCGGCGCGTTCTGTCCTCGCCACGGCACAACGTTTCCAACGATCAAGAGATCTTCCCACCCCCGGCCCACGCCCCAAGCGGTGCGCGCAGCCTGCAACCGTGATACGACGGTAAGGCGTGGTCATCACGTCTGTCTTAGACTTGGACAGCCAAGCTGCCCCTCCCGCAATGCTGATGATGGGAGAGAAATCCCTGAAACCCGCCTGCTCCCCAATGAACATCAGCCCTGTTGGCGGCCACCCCCCGGAACCACAACCACCCCTCCCTTCCTCCTCCTCCACGTCGTCCCTGCTCCGATCTAAATTGCACCTCGTCCTCCGATCCCTCGAGGCAGGATTCCTTTTTTCTCTCTTCTTCGTTCTTTTCCTTCTGCCTATCCTTCCATCAGGGCCCCGCGTCTATTCCTCCCAGAATCCCACGTCTCTTTCTTTTTAGTCTCTTGGTTGTCTCTTTGTAACTGGACTTTAATTACACGGATTCCGCCGGACTCAAGCGCTTGACTGCCATCTTGAGTCTTCCAATCGACTGAGGGAACGCCATCATCGACAAGGATCTCGTTGCTGGCAAAAAGAAGGAAGGGCTTTGAAAGGATTTGGAAAACGGGTGCGAAGATCACCCCAACCACCGAAACACCATGGTATCTCGCGACGTCTTCCGGCTCCCGCCCGCCGCGGCAGCTCTCGTGCTTCTCTCGACTCTCTTCACCACTACCGACGCCGTCGCCGTGCTCCCGCAAAAAACGCAGCATCTCCCCTTTCGTGTACTCGATGTCGTAGACTGGCCTCTGCAGACGCCGATGCCATGGCTCGGAAGGAGACAGGACTCCAGCACCAACACCGTCTGCGGCTACATCGGCGGCGACCCAGGCTTCGCGGCAACATGCTCCGCCGGCTCGCACTGCGCCATGGACGCCTCCGTCTCGGCCGTCGGCTGCTGCCCGAACGGCGTAGCCTGCACGACGGGCGTTTACACTAGCTGCGTCGACCAGAACAGCCCCACCCCGTCGGCGTACGACCCGTACATCTACACCTGCCAGGGCTCCAACGTGTGCTACAAGAACACCTACGATGGCGGCGCATACCAGTACGGATGCGGCACGAGCAGCCAGGGCTTCTACGTCGCGGCCACCGCCTCGGGGCTGAGCACGACTGTCTCCATCACCCACGTCTCCGGCATCGTCACCAAGGCCGCCAGCACCGCGTCCAGCTCCAGCTCCGGCAGTTCTTCGGCGTCAAGCTCTGACTCTTCGACAACGAGCTCCTCGTCCACGACCAGCAGTTCCAGTTCCAGCTCCTCGCCAACCTCCCAGGCGCCCAGCTCCACATCTTCGCACCCTGCGGCAAGCGGCGGGCCTCACTCGCCGCCGACACAGGCACAGCAGGACGCCGCCCTCGCGCGCAACGGCGGAATCATCGGCGGAACCGTCGCCGGAGCAGCAATCTTCGTTGCCATTGTGTCTGTTGCGTTCTGGATGGGCAAGCGTAAGGGCAGGAACCAGCGTGTGGGCCCCGGCCAGGGCAAGGGGCCTTCATATATCAGGTACAATATCCCATCTCGCCTCATCCCCCCACGTTCCCACATCCCCATCCCCATCATATCATCCGATCGGAAACGCTAACCCACATTCCCAGCCCCATGACGAACCAGAAGGACTTCACCCAGGTTCCGGGTCAGGACACCATGTTCGACCAGGCCGGCTACGGGCATCCGTCTATGATGCCTGGCGCCCACGGGACCACCACGTCCATTACCGGAGGCAACGCCGCCCACAGCGGGGGCTCCGTGAAGAGTGGTGGTGCCGGTGGTGCCGTTGCGTCCGGGGCGGTTCGTTCCGGAAACGGGGGAGAGGATGAGATCCCGCTGACGCACCAGAATGAAATGACGGAGTTCCTGAGGGGCTACCACGAGGCCATCTCCCGCCCGGAGGGAGAAGAGGTCCGCCAGGGCAGCGCTGGAGGTGCTAGCACGGCGACGGGCGCGACTGCGACCGAGTTTGGCGCGTCCCCGAACGCGAACGCTGGCGGCGCTGACATTGCGGAAGAGAGGCCGTTGTGGCAGCAGAACAGGAGGCAGAGCCGGAACTTGATGTGGATGTAAGATAATACGGAAAAGAATTACAGTGCATGCGGGGGAACAGATGAACATGGGGTATTACAGGTACAGAATACGGTGTTTTGGAGTTGGCATATGTCTCTTAGCCAGGGAGACACAAAGACACTTTCTAATCAAACGATTGTCTAATCACGTACATAATCGCCAATAGTATATAATCGCCGTACTGAGAATGACCGATCTCGAACATGTCGGCCGGCTGAACGAAATTGTTCGGCCTCGGTCGCTATCGAGAGACCGGCCCGTCCAGCCCTAGTCCATAAAAGCAGAATCGTTGAACATGGACGCTCGGAAAAGTGGGATTTAGTCGCGGCAACAACGCAGCCAAGACATTTGCAGTCGTCTGGATGACTTCAGCCGACGGGATAACATCGCTCTTCTTGTAATCGCGAAAGCGCGAGTTGAAGTTGTTCCGGCCATCCGGAGTACAACCCTGAACAGATCATCAACATCACTTCAAGTCGAGAATAGTCTGTGAGCAAATATAAATGATGACCGGTGTGAATTCAAATGATGAGGCTGTCATCATAATCAACTTGAACTCACTCACGATAAAGTTCCCATACCGACATTCTCATCAGCATTCTAGAAACCACCATGTCTTCTCCGAATCTCCACGTTGCAGTAATTGGAGCAGGTACGCCAAGATCGTGCCTACCGTCTCGAAACAACCCACGTACTAACGAGCCCCAGGCGCCACCGGCCTCCTCCTCGCCCAAGGACTGAAAAAGGTTGCCCGTCCATCTCCACACACGGCCACGAACACACAAACAAAGATGCTAACCCGCGCAGGCCAACGTCCGAGTCTCCGTCTTCGAGACCCTCCCCAGACAAACCTACGAGGACAACCCGCGAACGTGGACGATGGCCCTGCACTGGTCCCGCCGCAACGTCGAGCAGTGCCTCCCGCCCGAGCTCTTCGCCGCTCTGAGCAGCGCGCACACGAACCCCTGGCACGAGCCCTCGCACGACGAGGCCCAGAGCCTGCCGGTCGTGGACGGCAAGACGGGCGAGGTGCTGGTTGCGGCGAAGGTGGACGACGGCAGACGGGTCGTGCGCAGGAAGCTGAGGGATCTGTTCCGGCGCGGGATCGATGTGAGGTTTGGGTATAAGCTGGCGGGGATTGATACGAGTGGAGAGGGGGTCACGGCTACTTTTGAGAATGGCGAGGTGGTGCGTGCGGATGTTCTTGTTGGGGCCGATGGTGGTGAGTTGCGTTTGGCTGGGTTGGGGAATGTTGGCTGACTGACGTGTGGTAGCGAAGAGTGTTGTGCGAGACCACCTCGTGGATGGTGATGCCAAAGAGCTGGATCGGGTCCCGTTGATTTCTACGGTATGTAATGAGAAGGACGGTGTTTGTGTGGAAGGTTACTGACGGTAAGACAGAACATCGGGTGTCGGTACACGGCGGAGCAAGCTCGATTTCTCAGGAGCAAGATTCACCCGATTGCCAATGTAAGTTGTGAGAGTTGCCGTTGTAATGATCACAAAACTAATCAAAGTCGAGATGGCTGTTCATCCGGACCAAGACACGCTGTTCTTCCTCGCTGGTGGGTTCCATCTCCTGGATGATGTGTGCTTTAGCTGACTTGTGACAGTGGCCGATGTTCCTGATCCTGAGGACCCGGAAACCTGGGAGTTCCAGGTCGCCCTTTCTCTGTGGAGCACCGAAGACCCTCCGGAGACAAACGAGGACAGGATGAAGTATTTCAAGAAGCTCGCGGAGCCGTACTGCGAGCCTTACCGGTCTGCTGCACTCTGGGTGCCGGACAACACATACATTCCACGTGACAAGGTATGCTGGCTTTCGATCCTATCAACATATCACGGAGGTCATTGACTGGGTGTAGTACGCAGAGTGGAAGAGAATCGCGCCGTGGAAAAACTTTGACGGGCGCGTCACGGTTGCTGGCGACGCCGCGCACCCTATGTGTCCTTGTGAGTGCGAGCATCAAGCCCGAGGGCAACATTGCTATAGCTAACCATGAGAATCTCCAGTCCGTGGCCAGGGCTTGAACAATGCACTGCAGGACGCCGGAAACCTGGTCAAGGCCATCACGGCGGTCCAGGAGGGCCGGCAGACTCTTGCGGCGGCGATCGACGAGTACGATGCGGAGGTGTACCAGCGAGGCAAGCGGGAGATTGAGATCTCGGAGGAGTCAATGTTTGGACTCCACCACTACAGCGCGATCAAAGGATCTCCCATTGACCGCATGGGGTTAAAGGAGCAGAAGGCCTAGTGGTTGCTACTGTCTGCACAGATAGGTAGCTACTGCTCCAATCTCGGAGCCGAAAGCCGGTGTGGGGAGATGGCGGGGCCGTCAAGGACCCGCTGTCGGAAGAAACCCACTATCTGGGGGGGCCGGACCGGAGGTGGTGCTGGGGTCGTTTCCAAAACACATGTCTGGGTCTGCGAAACCGCTCAGGCTAATGCATCTGATAAAACGGTATCTCAGGTGATGAGGTGTTACCGGCTGGTGGTGGGCAGCAGCAGCCAACCCGCCAGACCCGAACACGAGAAAAGCAATGGTACTGTGGATTATTGTTACTTGCATCGACCTTGCCAGCTTCTCGTCTCTTCTCGTCTCAATAAATACCGGGAGGCTGAACTGAGAGGCTCCTTTTGGCGATGATCTCTATCTGCTTTTGAAGCACCCCTTTTACTTTAAGGGTCCTCGGTATCTCTGTAGAAACGGCAAATTGGCCAATGGAATTCTCAATGTCCAATCACAACTAACGAATTGAGAGGCCCTGTCCAAACAGCAGCGAGCAAGGCCCTTACCGTTCTTTATCGCTACAAACATAGGGGGAAGCCACAGGGTACAGGACCTGGGGGAGGTGGGCGGTGAAGACTTTTTACACACTTCGTGGCCTCAACTGACTTGGCGAGGACGGTCTGTTGGTGGGGTGTTGTCGGGGCCCCTGGGGCTGGCAGCCACTCAGGTGCCGGTGAGACCTGTTTTTCCAGCGACCCCTGCGTGCTGGACCCCACTCCCAGTTCACTGGAGTGGATACAAACGGGCGCCGCACGACGCGCAAGCCGCTTAGATTGGCTGGACTCGCTGCTCAGACAATTCCAGGAGCACAGGTTGGGACGGTGAGCCTGGGACACCAGCAGGGTAGCAGCCCCCAGGGCCAGACAGACAGAGACCCAGCGCCCAGAAAGCCACCAGGGCCTGAGAGACCCCCCCCGGCGCGGGCGCGTCTAGAATGACGGAATGAGCTCCCAGCTTAAATCTGTCCACACGGCCGGCCAGCCACAGAGGTTCACCTTCAAAACCACCACCCACCCCCTTCCCTTCTGCTGAGAGCCGCATCGTGAAGAAACATTGCCAGTCGCGCGCGTTTCTCACGAGTCAATCCTACTTCACCATGGCGTCCGAGAAGCTCAAGGGCGACCAGCTCGAGGGCGACATCACCTTCATCAAGACCCCTCCCCAACCCCCCGCCAAGTTCAGCACCACCGAGGACTGCGGTGTCAAAACCACAGACGTGAGTTTTTTTCCCCTCCCCTTTTTTCGATCCATGAGAAGAAATACGTGGTCGCACGCATCCAATTGAGCTCAATTGGCTTCATCTGAATAACCTCCCGCTAACCACCATCCTCTCACAGTACCCCGCCATCTACAATCCGCCACTTCCTGCTGAGGGCCCCGGCCACGAGTCCTTCTCGAACTGGGTGCTGGGAGCTCTCGTCTTTGGCGTACCTTGGTGGCTCACCCGCTCCGTTGGCGGCGGCTGGAAGACGTACACCTTCTTCCTCCTGCTCTGCTTCTTCCCGGCCCTGATCGTCGTCTGGACCATCGCCTCCACCTACTCCCCGCGCATCAACGACAAGGCCAAGCTGCCCGGCCGCCCCGTCGAGCACTACATCACCTTCAAGAAGGAGGCCGACAAGCAGCGATGGAGCGGACGCAACAAGATCCCCATCAAGACCTTCTACGAAATGTACTTTGACGGCGACGTCGAGTTCAACGGCGACTGCCTCGAGATCATGGAGTACCGCCACGACTGGTGCACCTTCCAGTTCACCTGGGCCGTCCTCAAGTTCATCCTCTTCACCTTCTTCCGCGACGTCGCCTTCCACTCCCGCGAGCAGGACGAGGAGCAGGTCCGTCCCACCTACGACTCCGGCAACGACCACTACGCCTGGTTCCTCGGCCCCCGCATGATCTACACCTCGGGCGTCTTCTCCGACATCACCCGCGAGGAGACCCTCGAGGAGATGCAGGACAACAAGATGGCCATCGTCTGCGAGAAGATCGACCTCAAGGAGGGCGAGACCATGCTCGACATCGGCTGCGGCTGGGGAACCCTCGCCCGCTTCGCCTCCGTCAACTACGGCGCCCACGTCACCGGAGCCACCCTCGCCCGCAACCAGGCCGCCTGGGGCAACGACGCCCTCCGCCGCGCCGGCATCCCCGAGACCCAGTCCCAGCTCCTCGTCTCTGACTACCGCGACATCCCCAAGAAGAAGTTCAACAAGATCACCCAGCTCGAGATGGGCGAGCACGTCGGCATCAAGCGCCTCACCGGTTTCTTCCGCCAGTGCTACGACATGCTCGAGGACGACGGTGCCATGTACGTCCAGCTCTCCGGCCTCCGCAGACCCTGGCAGTACGAGGACCTCATCTGGGGCACCTTCCTCAACAAGTACATCTTCCCCGGCGCCGACGCTTCCACCCCTCTCTGGTACTACATCTCTTGCCTCGAGAAGGCCGGCTGGGAGATCAAGAGCGTCGACACCGTCGGTGTCCACTACTCCGGCACCCTCTGGCGCTGGTACCGCAACTGGCTCGGCAACGCCAACGCCATCACCGCCAAGTACGGCCAGCGCTGGTACCGCATCTGGGAGCTCTTCCTCGCCTGGTCCGTCATCGCCTCGCGCCAGGGCTCCGCCACCTGCTTCCAGATGGTCGCCGTCAAGAACCTCAACGCCGTCCACCGTATCGACGGCTTCGCCTCCCAGTTTGGCCTCTCGGGCGCTCTCGCCGCCGCCAAGGCCAAGGGCAAGGCCATCCTCAAGCAATAAGCCACAGAAACGAAAGCTTTTGCATCTGCATTTGCAAACGGGGGAGCGGCAGCATATGTGTGCGGCCTTGCGTTCCATGTTTGAAAGGAGTGTTCCCAACCTCTTGTTCTTCGGCGTTTGGACTCGGTGACTTGGAGTCGAAGGGCTTACATACAAAAGGGGCAGGGGCGGGCGGATTTTTCAAGCACACATTTCGTCATGTTCAGGGATGAATGAGACCAGTGACTTTGTAAAAGTTTGGGGGGACGACTTGAACGCGATGTGTGGCATGGGTGTGGATCTGGTTACATAGAGCAGTGCGGCGACGCGCCGCCTCATGGGCCATGTTGCAAGTCTACTTGGTCTCAATGCGAAATAGAATCGTTCGCATACTCGTGTTCTCATTTTTTTGTGATGTTCCTCGTAAGATGTGTCACACCAACATCGTATTTCGTGAGCACTGATGGCTGACCTTTGCATTTATAATTATTCAATAAACATTTACATTGAAGGTAAATTAGGTCTACATGCAGCCACAAAGCTGTGTTTCAATAGCTCAGTAGGGATACTCAAAGTTGGTCGAAATCTTGATCGTCCACGGGTCGCCCTTGGTCATCGACTTGACCCTTCCCAGCATAAACTCGGCGTGCCTCAGCGCGACGCCTGGGTTGTACTGCGGGACCATGTGCCCGCTCAGCTTGGCCGTCGAGTGCGTGAACCCGCGCTCCGTGTGCACCACGCCCTGCACGTTGCCGCCGGCCCAGCTGATCACGTTGTCGTCGTTGTTGTCGACGTCCGGCAGCAGCAGCTCATCCGCCGGCTGCGTCTCGAAGCCCTGCTTGCCGTTCCACCGGATGCGCTGGATGCCGAGGGCCGTGACGTTGGGCTGGATGACGTAGTCGGCCTGGCCGGAGCCGACGTGCACGTTGTTGGTGCGCTCGACGAGCGTCTGGAACTTGGCCTCGTGCTCGGTGCCGTTGTAGTTGTCCTCGCCGCCGACGAAGACGGGGTCCTGGCACTCGCTCCAGGAGGGGTAGTCGACGGGCACGTGGATGGCCTTGCGGACCTCGGGAATGTTGAAGTAGAGCGTCGTGTTGGGCGGGGAGTACATGACGGACGGGAAGCCGAGGACGTCCCAGAGGACGGGGCAGGTGTCGAGGACGTGGTAGCCGTTGAAGCAGGGGTTGATGGCGTTGATGTAGTTGTCAAAGTGGTTCACGACGTCGTAGTCGGGGTCCCACTTGACGCTCTCCCAGGGGGTCGGCGGCGGCGGGTAGGCGAGGTGCTTGGCGAGGTAGGCGTCGAGCTCGCACTTTGCGTTGTCGGCGTCGAGCTGGGCCTTCATGCTCTTGGAGAAGCCGAACACGTTCTCCCAGTAGCGGTGGAAGGCGGGGAGCGCGGCGTGGTCGAAGCCGAGGTCGTCCGAGTAGGGCATCACGGGGTCGTAGTAGAGGGCGCCCTTGACGTTGTAGTAGGCCGTGTCGTTCTTGTCGAGCATGGCGGCGCCGACGTAGGGCACGTAGATGCCGGCGTAGCTCTCCCCGGCGATGTAGAGGTTCTTGCCCTGGAGGTCGAAGGTGGCGACGAAGTTCTTCCAGAAGGAGGCGAACTGGTCGGCGGTCTCGGCGTTGTTCGTGGCCGTGACGTTGCCGGAGCTGAAGCCGGTGCCGATGGGGTACTCGACCCTATGATTGTTAGCTTCACAGCGAGAAAAAGAGGAGATGGAGGGCCTACCAAATCACGTTGGCGAGCTTGTGCCATGACCAGGCGTTGGGAACGGGCCTGATGGTTCCGTACTGCCAGAGGAACGGGCCGTTCTCTTGCAGGAATCCTGATGATTGTTAGCGATGTGTGAAATCCTGGTGTTTACAACGCAATAGACTAACCCTCCATGGATGAGCATCCCGGGCCGCCATTGAACCAGATGATGACATCGTCCTTGCCAGCGGGGTTTTCAGTCGGGAAGAACCAGAAAAAGTTCTTCTGCTGCTCGGCTTCAGGCTTCGTCGCGTCGACGGGGATCAGGCCCGCATAGCTTTCGCCGACGTTGAAGTTCACCTCGGGGATCGAGGTTCCGTCAACGTAGAAGCCTGCAACGGAAAGCACGTTTAGTGAGAATGAGACTGAAAACTGGATGTTGAGCGTTCACTTACCACTGGTCTTGTTATTGTGGTACTGCAAATCACTCCGGCGCAGCGGTCCCCGCTCCTCTACCTGCTTCGGCGCTGTGGCCTGACGGTTCGCGAGACGCTGGCGGTGGGCGTGGGGTGACACCCAGGCCGAGACGAGGGGCAGGGCGGCGAAGACGCCGGCGACGATGCTTGACGAGCGCATAATTCAAGACCCGGAATACCGTTTGAAACACGCGTGAGGCTCAAAGGAACGAAGGAGCTGCCAAGCAAGAGCCAAGGAAGGGCCAAGAGATGTGCCTTGCATGCCATGGAACCAACTATATATCGAAGCATCGCACCCCACGATCGGACCGCCGGCGAATCGCTCGCAAACGGAGCCCTCCTGAATGACGCCATGGGCATTTAGAAAGGGTGGACATATCTAACCCAAGGAGGCATGTCGTTGTTCACATCGTATTGCTGCTCATATATGGTGGGCAAATGATCAATTCGTATCGACAGTGTGTAGAGTGCTGCTCCAAAGTTAACGCATGGTGATTAGCTACGGATTAGGCAGGTCAAAAGCTGAATTGCAGCGCGTTACTGGATGAATTAGCTGATAAGCATGCCGAAGTGCCGAGATGAACAAGGCCCTTGTGGTGGAGCGGCTTCAGGGATGGGCTGCCGCGGTGGGATGAGACCTAAAGCTTGTTTTTTTCGCCCACCCCGCACCGGGCGGGCATCCCGGACTGGCGCCGCGGTGCTGTCGGCAGTCGGTGGTGCATACTGAACCTCCGGGTCTGCCGGTGGTGTCTCCGGCCCTTACTTTGTCCAGAGTCTGCCCAGCTTGGCGGCCGGTTCGTGACTCCGGAGCACTTGTGGAACCAAGTCAAGCCCTCAGACCGCTCCATGGAAGCACTGCAATCCGAATGTGTGAAGGCTTCGTCGCTGTGAGCCCCGAGTCAAGAGAATTGGCTCTGTCAGTTGTTATGTTGCTGAGGTCTTGGCACTGTTTCTAAGTTAGATTGCTTCATTTACGACAAAGACCAAAACGATGATATCTGGCACACACTCACTTTAAAACCTCTTCGCTTCGTGTGTAGCTTTGCCATCTGGTTATCTCTAGTTGTCGTTTCAAATGCTCAAGCTCTTGGTGACCGTTGACCGGTCTGCGAGTGGTCTTGATCGAGAATAAGGCAGTACATGGTCTCACAACGCATATTCATATAAGATTAAGTCAGTATTTGCCGGCAAAGAATATAATTCCGTAGGACATGAAGATGCAGGCGCACGCTAAATGATACCAATACGCTCTTCTAGACTTGTTACATAGATCTCACTCACGAAGCCGGACTAGCGACAACGCAATACCTAACATCAGGCCAAATTCATTGACTGGTATTTGCGCGATAGCAGCACCACACGAAAAGTCACACCGGAAGGTTCCCGCCCTCAAGTGCGGTGCTACTATTACGTAGATCATACTGTGGTAGCAATATTGGGTGAACTGCTTTACCTGTTTATGAAGGCGTGGTCTAACAATCAACTAGGCTAAACCCTTCGCCGTTGTCTGCCGACAAATGTTACTGTTTCAAGAAATGGTCTGAGCCTGTTGACTCTGCAATGGGCCTCCTATGATAACAACCAGGAAATCCGATAAGAGCATCGGAGGCATGGCTTGCGTGGCATCAGTGGTCGTGGTCGTGATGGGAATAGTGGTGGCAGGCGGCGGTGTCGTGCTGCTTATCCTTGTCGTGGAGGAAGCGGACGTCGAGCTACCTGCGCTCGTAGCTGGAATGGTGGACGATCGCGAGGGAGTGGTGAGACTGGAAGGCACGGGAGGTGTCTGAGCTGATGACCTCGTGATTTGGCTTGTCGCAGTGCTGGATTCTCCTACTGGACCACTCGTGATGCTGCTAACTGGCGTGAAAGTCGTGCCGCTCGTCATGGAGGTGGTATTGGTGAAGCGTGGACCAGTCATTGAACTGAAGACCGGGCTGTTGGTTGTACCAGGGATGCCGCTCGAGCTGGTTGCGGGTGTACTGCCGGTGATGGTATCCAAGCTGCTGACCCCCTGGACACTGCTTGATGTGCTACTCGAAAAGCTGCTCGCGGCATTGCTGGAGGCACTGGAAGTGCCAGCAGAGCTCGACGTACCAGTAGAGCTTGAAATGCCAGTAAAGCTTGGCGTGCCATCCTGACTGGTCGTCTGAAGTGGATTCGAGATGGTATCGACGCTGCTTGAAGTACTCATCGACGTTGCCTGGGTAGAGTTTGAAGACGTGGAGATGCTCGTGGTCGAGGATGCTGATGATGTTGTGAATGTGCTTGCTAACCCAGTGCTCGTGGAGTCCGAACTAACGATCGTGGTACTCGTCAAACTCACAGATGTTGATGACGAAATCTCCGACGTAGAAGATGTAGTTGCCGAGGTCATTGTGTTGCTACTTGTCGAAGACACTGTGGTACTTGAAGGGACAGTAGAGCTTGTCGACGTCGGAACCGAGGAGCTTGATGAGCTAGACGAGGTTGTAGATATGACCGAGCTCGTCGAAGTTGTTGACGGAGTATACGTTGATATGGAGGAAGGCCCGTAGACCGAGAAGAGCGTAGTGCCGCTAACAATTCCTCCACATGATGCTGTTGCGGTCCCGACGCAAACCCCATTATTAGCGTATGTCTGCGTGCCTGGGCAAGGCCGAGTGCAAGGGTCCTGGCCTGGGAAATTTCTTGGTGGCGGGGGATTGATAAAGACGGGATCGGGCGAATTCAGTTTTGAGCAGTAGCAGAAGCTGTCGATTACGAGAGAAAATCGCCGGTTATTGTTCGCACACGTCGTCTGGCAAAAAGCTGGCGTGTTCAACGACGAGGTGGCCAGGAGATCCAGATTTGCGAGTCCATCTACGACCGCTCCACATCCGCTCCACAGGTTCGGGGAGGACGAAAAGTTGGATAGACAGTTACCCATCGCGCAATCAGGCCGCCGTTTGCAGAGGGAAGGCGAATACGGGCAACATGGGACAAGCTAATGTCAGTAGACTGCATTACAACGCTGGGAAATCTTCCATATATGTTGGTGGGGAAGGCGAAAGGAATTGCATGTGGTGTCGACTATAGCCGCTGATTCAATGAAAATCCTTTGCCAATGCAGATCTTACATCGCCGCATGCCGACGGTTTGTGATGTCTTGGTAGTTGTGCAAAAGCTCTGCTGAAACCGCGCGCCACTAATTTAAGTCTCTGAGGATGCCTCAAGACAGGACATTCGCGTTCGAAACGATGCTGCGGATGCTTGGGAATGCGCAAAACGTGTTGACACTGGCAAGGCTCTACAAACTTTCTTCAATATCCCTATCATCTAACTCACTTTGTAGTGGCGTTGTATTTGGATCAGACTTGGCTTTGAAATCGCGCCACGTTCTAAAGTGCGTATGTTCAATTGAGGTCGCATCTCAAATCCGCGTACATACGTATTCAATCGGGCCTTGACCGGACCAGGGAAAATTCGGCTGCGTGAATTATTTTGAAAAAGTCAAGGGATACCTCTTAGGCCTTTGTTGAAATTCTCTCGTGGTATTGATGCAGGTACGTTCTCGACATGTTACACAAATGCCAAGGGGCTGAGAGAATACCCCTGGCTAGCTCCAACGGGACAGGGCTGATGGGGTGGCTTCAATCGGAATGATATCAGCTTCAGCTGTCGAGGATGAATCAGTGAAACATCACTAACGGTTGGATATCGGAAGCCCAGATGACGATTATGAGACTGGTCATATCTCACTTGGCCAATCGCAAATGAGAGCGAGTGGGTTTTAATTAAGACATCATTCAAGGGAGTAAGATCTCAAAATTCCTGTTCTTCAAGTAGCTGACAAGAGTAACGCGATTCGGCGAGGTTGGGTTTTGGTCGATTTCCATGCGGTTGATGCCAGGTCTCATGCCAAAAGAGTTTGGCTGTTCGGGCCGAAAATGCTGCCCAGGCGAATAGTGAATCCAGTTGACAACAAGGTAACCACACTGGGGAAGAAGACAAAGGAGACGCGAGACTAAGAGGAATAGCAACATACTCAGCTAATGAAATCAGTACATTGCCCGCTGGGCAAAGCGTCCGCTCGGAGAGCAAGACTCTACCGGAAGACCGCAGCACCGGAGTCTGCTCCGGCACGTCGGTTGTGGGTCTCCCGAAGCTTCAAGAGTCACAAGGTGTTTCCAGACGTACCCTGATAAACCACTTTTGACTCACTCTCTTGACTCAAACTCTCAAGCCCACGTACAAGGGACGAAACTGCCAATTGGCGCCCGATTTCAAGCCAAATGAGCCAATCATGCACCTTGATCACCCAATGGCAAGCCCCGACTGACCCAACCCCGCCCACACTCCACGCACACGCTTCATATTGCAAAATCTGAGCCACTCTCTCAACAACAAGGCAAGATGGCCGAGCGGTCTAAGGCGCTAGCTTCAGGTGCTAGTCAAGTAATTGGCGTGGGTTCGAATCCCACTCTTGTCATTATCACGCGAGTTGGATCTTGCGATACGTTTTGTTTTTATTGATGTTGTGTTGATGTTGTGTTGATGTTTTTGTGCGATTGATTTTGGTGGTGAATTGAGATTTTTAAGTCGGGTGAGTGAGAGCGAGACGTGGCGCGAGAGTTGATGTGGGGGTGGCGCGGGCCCGTGCGCCACGGGTCGACGACTTCTGCCAACTTGCGAAGGTGCGGGTGATTGGGACGACAACAATAGTGTAAGGAAGGAGTCAAAATCAAGACCAAAAAGTGTTCCAAGTGGTCCCAAAATCAATGGCTTGTCTTGGGAATTGTGCATGTCTTCAGCGAGGTCTGCGCCGCTGGAACGTGGGGTAGGTCACTGCCGTGGGACCCTCTTACACCAGTTTCCTACCTTGGGTGTTCAGTGCCCTCTTTCATCAGAGGTATAACAGTGTAGGATGGTCATAACTTGTCTCTTTGAAAGTTTCGAATGATATCGGCTGGGAAAGCTATGGGACAAGGGTTGTGTGACTTATAGTTTCATATCTCTAAGCTGCGTCATCTGCTTGTAGTCTTGATGTGCTGCGCTAGTGAAGAAGTATTTGATTAAAAAGATATTTCGTACCCCTATATTCAGCTCAAAAGACTTACAGCAGCGTTTTTCAGCATTTAATTTGAACGGATTCAAACATGGGTTGTTTGCAAAGCTTCTTGCTGCGGGTACCAAGTTACGACGATCTGTGCCAGCTCAGACCTATCCGCTGATTCAATTCCTCACAGAATTTGAGGGAAGCAGTCCACATATATGTCTCTGATTTATATCAAGTTGCCCAATCTGTGGGTACTACAGCTGGGCACGTTGATAGTGCCAAAATATCTTAGAAGTGTCACTTTCACCCCGTGTCGGTCACACATCGCACACTTGTTAAACCTTCTACACTGCAAAAACTCTGGAAGTTTAGATGCAGGAGTGGAAGCATAGAAAGCCTTCTCATTTTAGGACTGATTAGAAACTGCTCACGCTCCCATAGTACGACGCATTCTTAGGCCTTTGATTAATAAAACCCTCTTTCTTGTGAATTCCCAAGAAAATGAGTGCAAAAAGGAAAAAAGTCGGAGTCGCTACTAGATGTGGTCGAAGACCAAATACCGTACACATCTCGTTCACGTCTTAGCATTAGTTTAGGCCAACTATAGGAAGAAAAAAAGAACACGAGATTGGAGCCATTCAACTGGGACAAAGCCGTATTTGGAGATGTTGAGGCGATCTATGCTGACGGATTCCCGCATGAGTCAGACATACTTTGACCTCCATATGTAAAAATCCTACAAATCAAACTAGCACGCATAAGTCTCGTTTTCACCTGAGGGCAACGGCGATTTCTCTGCAGGTTCCGCATGTGGCCAGAAGGAAAATCACATCACGCAACCCTGAAACGCAACGTACTGCCCAAAAGCATGAAGGTCAAAGTGCTAGAAAAGTTGACTGACGCTGTATCGTCATCGTCCTTTAGCATCTGCGTTCTTTGCCTTATACGATGCATGTAGTGAAGTATGTATGTGCCCCAGCTTATAGGGAAAGGATCTAGTTGGACATAGTAAACGGCATATTTTAGAAAACGTACGATGTTCTCGTAGGTTTTAATGTTCTGACCCTAGTGTGCAGATCACCAATCAGAGATGACTCGCCGTGCTTCATGCAAAATTTCTAGTCTTCATGCAGTGTATTTTATACCATGATTACAGTCCAAGACGAGAATCCTTAACACTGAACCTGTTTTTCTTGGAATTTGCGAAGTTTCGTGCCATGTGAGCGCTATGAAGACTGACTCCGCCATCGCCTGTTTGCACTTGGTCCTGTCGTTCAAGCGCAGCAGCCTCGCCAGATGCTTACCTCAAAATAGCTGCTTTTATTACAGAAAAGTAATCCCTGAGATTGGCCAGGGTAAGCAGTCTTGTCCTGTTACTCTAGCAGATGAAAGAATCATTCTTCTTCCTCTTCCCGTAATCCCAACTCCTCGACCAGGTACCTGAAAGTGCGATCGCCCCCACAGTCCTCGTCCGTTAAGCCCCTCTTCTCTGCTAGGAACTTATATCGATGATCCTTCGACCAGCTGTATGCCTTGGACAAATCCACCAGGTAGTTTGAGGTGGTCGCGCCGCGGTCGACAAGCCACTTGACCAAATCTCGGCTGTTGCACATCACAGCGCGCTCGATCTAAGAAGAATCAATCAGCCAAGTCTTTTCTCTCCAGTGAGCCAATCATCGGCATATTACCAGAGAGCCGTGTCCGGGAATGTCACTGTCACCGGGGGTGTTAATGTCGTGCCCGAGCTCGAGGAAGATTGTAATTGTGTCGTAATGCTCCTGTTTGACTTGACCAATGCCGTAGCGGGGGTAGACAGACTCTAGAGGGAGAAGCAAGGCAGGCGCATCCCAGTCTTGGTAATTACGAAATTTCGCATGCGCGTCGGCCCCGGCATCGAGCAAGAGGCGCACCATCTCCGGCGACGATGTCCGCGCAGCGTAGTGGAGGGCGGTGTATGATTCCATTTGTTGTGAACATCTCACTTCCAGATCAACCCCGAGAGCGAGAAGGAAGCCGACAATGTCAAGACGGCCCGCGCTGACGGCAGCTTGCAGAGGAGTCTTCCATTCAGTCCAAGTGTACTCGTGGAAAGCGCTAATGTTGAGGTATGGCCGTTCGGTAAGCAATATCTTTAGGCCCTCCAGGTTGCCGGCTTCACAAGCATCGTAAAACGCGGCTCGCCCGGCTAGATACGTGGCGTCTTCTTGCATCTCGTCTTCCGATGCCATCGTGATATGGTTTGGAGAAAGTGTCGAGAAATTGGTTTGCGACGTTGCACGATGCCCGTGGGGAACCCCTTATTAACACAACTTAAGTACTTTCACAATACCGAGGGTTCTGCCTAATGTGCCAAGAAACAGGCAATGACAGTGTTGGGGTTGGAAGTGTTGGCTCCAGGCACCAACCAGATATCTCCACACAAAGCGTGTTGCGACCTCAATGTGGTCCAGCAACAGACTCGTTGACCAGGGAGCAACTCCGTCCGTGATCATTTCGTCAAATAAGCACAGGAGGACCCTG